AAATAGATATTTTAATGCATTTTTTTTAATTTAAAGAAAAACAGTTTTAGTTTTAATAGATCAAAATAAAAAAATTTTAAGAGAAATTTGCTTAAGACAAAGCCAGGAAAAAGTTTAAGATTCTGTTCAAATAATAGATGAACCTATCAACAGTTCAAGAGAAGACAAAATTCCTTAAATCTGGAAATCACAGCATACTTTTATGTTTTAGTCTAAAGTCAAAAAATTCTATTTTACCAGTTCAATCTCATGGAAATAATCTCTCTTCTATTTAATCTGCAGTGTTACTGTGGTCTGATATTTCCATTTAAACTCTGGCATTTAATTTTCAGCTCCAGACTTGTCCCTACCATTAGGATGGCCATTTTCTTGGTTGTATTTTGAAATATTATTTCTATGTGTCCAACTTTAGTTTTCCTGGTATAGCACTCCCTTCAGCAATTCTTGAAGAGCTGATCTGGTGTTCATAAATTCTTTCAGGTTTTGTTTATTCTTTTTTTCTCTTATGAAAGGTAATCGTGCTGGGTATAGTATTCTTGGTTGAAATTGTTTTTCACTTAACAATTTAAATATATTTTCTCATTCTTTCCTTGCTTGCATGTTTCCAATGAGAGGTCTGATGTTAGCCTAATTGGATATCCTTTGAAAGTAACTTGATGTTTCTCTCTTGCCAAAATTAGTATCTTGTCTCCATCCATGGATTTGGTCAATCTGGCTATAATGAGCACTGGGTATCTTCTTGGGTTGATTCTATGTGGGGTCCTTTGTATTTCTTGGGTCTGGATATTTGAGTACCTCTCTAGGTTTGGAAAGTTTTCTTCCAGGATTTCATGGAATAGATTATCAATGCCCTTATTAGTTTCATCACCTTATGTAATACTGATGATCTGTATTTTGGGGCATTTAAAGGTATCCAGTATTACTCATATATTTTTCTCATTTTTTTTCTGTCTTTTTGGTGAATTTTTTAGGTCAGAGTTTCTATCTTCTACATCCGAGATTTGATCTTCTGCATGATATAATTTGTTTTTAATACTTTCAAGGGAAGATTTCCAATATTACAGTCTTTATCTCTAGTAATCCTGTTTTATTCTTATTTATTATGTGTATTTCCTCTTTCAGATCATGCAAAAACTTCCTCACCTCCTGGAGCTCATTGTCTCTTTTCTCCTTTTGTGTGTGTGTGTGTGTTATATATATATATATATGAGAGAGAGAGAGAGAGAGAATAGGGCTTTTTAGCCTGGCTCCTGGCTAGATCTGACAGTCAGGAGGATGAAGTCTGGGCTGAAGGTCTTCATTGGTCCTAATACCTGAATGGGGTCACTCAGAACTCAGATATAGATGACTGGTGATTGTTTTGTCCTGGCTCCTGGCTAGATTTGGAGGACAGGAGGGTAAAGTCTTGGCAGAAGGTCTTCTGGTCCTAATTGGAAATCTTATACTACTTTCAAAAAATTATCAAAATGGCATATCTTAGTCAGTTCAGGCTTATAACATGAATACTAAAACTGATTGACTTAAACAACAAACATTTGTTTTTCAAAGTTCTGTAAACAGGAAGGCCCAAAATCAAGGCATCAGCATATTCCTTGTCTGTTGAGGGCCTGCTTCAAAATTTCTGCATATAATGGAGACACAGTGAGACTGAATCTGTTCTTCCTCTCGTAAGGGTACCAATGTCATCATGTGGGTTCCACCTCCATGACTTCACTCAAACCTTATTATCTCCCAAAGGGCCCACCTTCAAATACTATCACAATGAATATTAAAGCTTCAATATATGAATTTTGTAAAGGATGCAAAAATTAGGTCAATCACACATATTTTTTGTTTGTTGTTTTGCTTGCTATAGGGCGTGTGTGCTTGCCAGACACAAAGAGAGAAGCGATAGAAAAAGAGGTAAAGTGAGAAATTACCCACCAGAGTGGATGTCCATGCCTAATCCCTACTCCTTCATTCTCTACTCTGATTTTGGACATGGATGTATACATACTCTGTGTAATTTTCAAGCCAGCATGTCCAGGAATCAAAATGCAGAGTTGGCCATGTGGAATCCAACTTTCATAATCTTCACACCACTTACTGGCCCACAATGCATATACTTTAAAGCAATTGAAAGTGATGTAAATGGAAAAGTTCTGGTTTATTTGAGTGAGTACTTTTTTATTTTAAATATTTTATTTTTTAGTGCTATGCTAAATTGATAAGTAACAATCATACATATTTATGGGGTACAGTATGCTCTTTTGATATATTTGTACAATGTGTAGTGATCAAATAAGGGTAACTGTAATTTATATCACTTTAATTATTTGCCATCTTTTTTGTGTTGGAAACACTCAAAATCTTTTCTTCCAGATTTTTAAAAATATGCATTTTCTTTATATAGAGTCACCCTACAGTGTTGTCACAGTCTAGCAGTTATTCTCCCTATCTGTAATTTTGTATCCATTAATCAAATTTATTTATTCTATTTTCCATCCACTTCCCCTTTCCAGCTTCTAGCCACCCCTGTTTTACTATTTAATTCCATGAGATCAACTTTATTAGCTTCAACATATGAGACATGTGGTATTTCTCTTTCTGTGTCTGGCTTACTTCTCTTATGTTTGAGAATAGAACCAGTAAGAACAAAAATGTAAACA